ATTTTAACCACCACTAGATTTCCTCCATAACAGCCTGTGACATTATCCGTAACTCTGGCATTATTCCATCTTAACCCCGGTGGAAAAAACAAACAATCGCCAACAATGAATTTTAGGGCAACACCAAGGTATAACCCAAACTAATGATCTCCTACAAGAATACATATACATTTCCAAAACATATGTTCATGGCAAGGCATTGTGACATAAAGCAACATTCATGTATATGAAAAAAGATGTCCATATGTATAAAAGAATGTTCATTTGCACGGTTAAATTGCTCGGACCAATCATGAGCTTGCAAAAGCTGTAACAAAATGGTGCAATCACGCACATTGCAGGCGGAAAATGTGAATCATACGGTGCCGGTATCAGTTTATTACTTCCTAGTTCTAGGAACCCAGGCAAGGGCTTTGGTACATGCCGTTTTCAATGTGAAAATGGGCTGCTTCATGAAAGGGCTTTCTGCACCTCAACGGTCACTTCCTTTGGTGGTTTCTCCGCATGAAGATTTGCCACCAAGCCATTCTTGGAGTAGTAGTCAATCACCTGGGAGAAGCAAACAGTTTTCAGATTAAAAACATTGACTGAACAGCAACTGCTTTGCTTCATGCAAGATGAAACCAGAGTTTGGCAGGAAAGACACTAATGAAAGTATGCGACAAAAGGATGGGCAATAACAGAAGAACTGTTTCATCCGGAAGAAAGATCTGAAGAATACATGGTTGAGAAAACATACAGGTTCGGTTTGCATATGGAAAGCCTCAAGCCTTGACTTTAAAACCGCAGCTGTGTCATCTTTCCTTTGAATCAAGGGCTCTCCGGTAACCTTGGTAAACGGGAGAAGAATCAGAAGTCAATAGTTTGCACCAAAATGCCAGTTGAGGAAAAAATATATAGTATCAAGGGATGTAATAATCACAGGTGCACATATATTTTCTGGATGAAACATACGAACTCTTGCAGAAACAGTAGCATAAGCCTCGACAACCAAAGTTCAGAATAATAGCAATGATGTATAATCTCTACTTATTGCAAAAACATGTCAAATATATTTATTTCTGGTAGTAATTCGTAAAGAGCATATTTTCAGGGAAGGAAAGGATATATTGTGCTATAGAAGGCATCCATAAAAATAGAACACGAGGGCATATTCAACTATTTAAACAAATCATAACATCACTCTAGTAGTCAAAATTATTGCGCCTACAACCAGAAGCAGACCATAAGAAGATTAAACCTAGACTTCATCTAGCAAACTAGAAAACTCATCATCCACAACATAAATATTTGCCAAAGATTGAACATATTTGGGTATAGCAGCTTAGCACAGTTAAATGTGAGGCAAACTGAGGGGGTGGCATGCAAGAGAGAAGCAATGATGATGATCTAAAAAAGTTCATGCAAATATGATATATACAGGCAGTCCAGAATTCTGCATTTGACTTACATCATCAACTCCAGGAGTCTTCGGAGGAGCAAACTTTGTATGGTAAGATCTGCCACTCGATGGGTGTATCCAGCGGCCAGTAATTCGTTCTTCCAATATTGCATCATCAATTGCGAAGTTCAAAACCTTGTCAACTTTAGCGCCTTGCTTTGCCAGCATGTCATCAAGCTGCAGCCATTGTTCAAACAAACCGTTAGGAAGCCCAAAAAAGAAGCTCCCAGAACATAACTACTACTCCCTCCGTCCCATAATATAAGAGCATTTTTTACACTAGTGTAGTGTCGAAAACGCTCTTATATTATGGGACGGAGGGAGTATCATCTATCAAATATGTCCTTATAACAGAAAGAATGCTTTTCAAGGTGATGCATATTGATCAAGGACCTTTTGTGCTTGAACAACAGTTCTAGGGAAGCCATCAAGGATAAAACCCTTCTGGCATGAGGGTTTCTTCATGGCTTCATCGATAATCCCAACAACCAAGTCATCTGAAACAAGCTCTCCCTACAAAATGTCAAGAAACAAAGGAATTAACAAACGAGATTTCTGCTGGTTCTTAATTGCTGGTAGTTTGCTTCTTGAAATCCTACCTTGTTCATAGCTTCTTTAGCCTTGATCCCCAGAGGAGTCTTAGCAGCAACAGCAGCTCTCAGCATATCACCAGTGGCTAAATGGCACAAGCAGTATTCATCCTTAATAAGGGGCGACTGCGTACCCTTTCCAGAGCCAGGTGGACCTACAGAATTCATACATGTCACATTGTCATATTGCCCGAGCATAGAGCAATCTAGAATATACACAGAAGCACTTAGTGTTAAGGAATTAGATGAAATAGATAGTTAAAGAAGTACACTGATATTGTTATGTGTGTGTTCTTCAGCATCTGCAAATGTATCACAACCTCACCTCTTCCGTACACAATCATATTCAGATACTCTCATGTAATGATGTATTCCTTTAGCCAGGCAACTAGTCAGATGCAGCTAGTTAGATAATACTACCTACTAGCTATAAAGATCAATATTCCTAAACAAGCTGCTGCACAGAATGAAACAAGGCCTTGCAAGAAATTTTGATATGTAGTAGCACATATTGACTGCATTTGATTTATTCATCTTTGTTGTCAAAATTTTAAAATTTTGTTAATGCAAAAAAATGACGCAAGTGCAGTTGTGAATCAGGTAGTCAGCTCTGCTGGACATAGTAAAAGACACATGAGAACTATTCACAAGTCATTTTCTCAAAAGCTTAGAGGTTCTATTCTATAACAAGGATGGAAAAGGTTAACACATTGGTAGCAGCAAAAACTAAACAAAATAAATAGCGTCACCTGTATTTGTGGTATACCACTGAAAAAACAATATGAAGACACATTGGATCCAGCGAAAGGTGACACAAACAAAGAAAAGGAGAGAATATAAATATCTTTCTTCCCAAGTTATGGCTTTTAATCTATATCTTTACTCATACTCAAAGAATTCCACTTTTTTCTCCTCACCAACCACAAAAAGGCTTGCACATGATACCAAAGTGATTATGACACCAAGGAACTATTCACAAGTCCTTTCTGTTTCATCATCCTCTAGAAACTTTCATGGATGTAAAATTCCACACATCTATCAATTACTACTAATTAGGCGGAATCTTAGTGATTGATATCAATTACTAAAATTCCACACATCTATCAATTACTAAAATTCCACACAAACATAGCGATTAGTACTAATTAGGTGGCAACACAAAAAAGAGCGGTTAGAACCAATCTCCCTGTGAAGAATACTACAACTAATTCCACCATTGTGAATTTAAGTGCCCCCAATTCAACTCCCCACATTGGAAGTATGAACAATTCCAGATACGCGGAGCACAGATCAGATTTCCCCCTCGACTGCGCAAGAAACCTTACAAGCGGAAGAAAGAGACGAAGCGGGTAAGGAAAAGAGCGGGTTTTACCGACGAGGATGATGCGCTTGTCGGGCTTGGAGCTGCACTTGGCGCGGCGGAGCACCTCGGTGATGAGATCCACCGACGGCACGTCCTCGAGGTTCGCCGCCATCTCTTCCCCCGCCGCCGGAACGGAAGTCGCGTGCCCTGCGGCCGGCGCGGAGGCGTCCGAGATTCGGAAGGTGGAGCCGGTGGGTGGGTGGCAACAGGCAATGAGATTAGGGGGAGGGGCTGCAGGTTTGGTGCGTGCTGGTGAGAGACGACGGGAGAAACGAGGTCGTGGCGGCGGCTGGAACCTGCTGGACACGTAGAAATCGAAGGATCTGGGTTGGGGTGGTGCCTTGTTGGGCCCGGCCAACATATAAGAAAATAATTAACAGGATAAAAGAAAGAGTCCATTATGATCTCTTCTCTTATTTCGACTACGAAACCATCTCTTCTCTTCTCTCCTATCTTTTTCCTACTTCAAAAAATAAATTTCCCCTACTTAAAAAAAGTAACATTTCAACTAAAACTAATCCTTTTTCTCAACAAAAAAAAAACGAAAACTAATCCTACTCTATCACCTAAATCAGTCCCTCCCGTTTCCTCGCCCCCAACCCACAAACACACACAATGCGGCTAGGGCGAACCAACCTGTGGTTGGATGGTTATATGGACAGTGGTATCTCCAGCCCACCAGGGTTCAACTCATGGTGCTCGCATTTATCCTGAATTTATTTTAGAATTTTCGGCGATACGCGTTCAGTGGGAGGAGACGTTCCCATCGACTACGAGGCGCCTACGGTGACTTCGTGAAATCTCAAGATGATATGTTGGCTCAGTTTCTCGGAGGTGCTCATAAGGGTAGGATGTGCGTATGTGCGTTCATATGGATGAGTGTATGCGTGTATATATGAGCGCTTGCGTATGTACTGATGTTCAAAAAATAATAATGCGGCTAGGGTTTCTTCTCCTTCTTAAGCCGCCATCTTGGCGCAAGGTGACGGAGGGGAACTCGGTTCTTCGTTTGATGTGTACTTGTTTTCGTGTAGATTTAGTTCGTGTGTCCCATCGGTGATGTTGAGGCGATAGCGACATCGTGGTAATGGAATGAGTCCAACGGGCCTCCTTCCCGCCATGTTGGTGTTCGTTCCAACACATATGGCAGGCTTTGAAAGTGCGGCTGGTACTTGTAAACTATGTTGGGATTTTTCCCGAAGAGGAGGGGAGATGCGGTACAGTAGAGATAAGTATTTTCCTCAGCGAGAACCAAGGTTATCAAGACAATAGGAGAACCAAGCAAATTCACTTCAACAACACCTATACACACAAGCAAATGCTTGCACCCAACGCGGACAAAAGGATTATCAATCAACTTAAACTCGTTACTTACAAGGATTAATTATGAAAGTGATAGATAGATAAATTGCAAAATAAAATAAAAATAAATAAATTGTAGCAAAGTATTTTTAGTTTTAATAATATGATAAAGGTAGACTCGGGGGACATAATTTTCACTAGAGGCTTCTCTCTCGAACACATAGCATACGATGGGTGAACAAATTACTGCTGAGCAATTGATAGAAAAGCGCATACTTATGACGTTATTCATGGCAATGATCATGTATATAGGCATCATGTTCGTGACAAGTAGACCGACTCCTGCCTGCATCTACTACTATTACTCCACCAATAGACCGCTATCCAGAATGCATCTATGGTATTAAGTTCATGACAAACAGAGTAACGCTTTAAGCAAGATGATACGATGTAGACAAAGTAAACTCAATCGATATGAATAAACCTCATCGTTTTATCCTTGATGGCAACAATACAATACGTGCATCGCTACCCCTTTTTGTCACGAGGTGAGGACATCACAAGATTGAGCACATCACAAAGCACCCCTCTCACTGAAGATAAATCAATCTAGTTGGTCAAACCAAACGGATAGATCAGAGAGAAATACAAAGCTACAACAATCATGCATAATAAAATTCAGAAAAGACTCAATTACTTTCAATGAATAATCTGATCATAAACCCACAATTCATCGGATCCCAACAAACACACCGCAAAAGAAAATTACATTGGATAGAACTCGAAGATGATCGAGAAGAACATGGTATTGAAGATCGAAGAGAGAGAAAAAGTCATCTAGCTACTAGCTATGGACCTGTAGGTCTATCATGAACTAATCATGCATCATCGAGGCAGCAAGGATGATGTAGAAGCCCTCCATGATCGATTCCCCCTCCGACGGAGTACCAAAAAGGCCTCCAAATGGGATCGCGGAAGAACAAAAGGTTGCGACGGCGGAAAAAATGTTTCAGGTGGCTCTTTGTTGGTTTGGGAATATTTGTGAATTTATAGGCTTGGAATTAGGTCAAAGACAGTTGCGTGGGGCCCGTGAGCTCAAGGGGCACGCGCCCGTAGATCTTCTGCCCTCCTCCCAAAGCTTCTAAGATCCCTTCTGGTCCAGAAAAAATCACCGTAAAGTTTCGTCATGTTTGGACTTCGTTTGGTACTGATTTTCTGAAAAGTCAAGAACAAGTAAAAAATAGGAACTGGCACTGGACACTGGGTTAATAGGTTAGTCCCAAAAATTGATATAAAATAGCATAAAATGCATATAAAGCATCCAAGATTGATAATATAATAGCATGAAACAATAAAAAAATAGATACATTGAAGACGTATCAGCGGCCCCATCGATCCGTGCAACCATATTTATCGGGCGGTGTGATGGTGTCAAGGATGTGAGTGAGAATAATCAAGCCCAATGCTAGATCTGGGCGAGCGTTAAGGTGGTATGAGAGTGCCTCCTCTCTTCATAAAGCCTCAGATGGGTGTTCTTCTTTCTCATCGTTGGTGGTTATGTGGCATCTCTTCAACAACTTATTCTTCAAACATGTTCTATCTTGTCTCGGTTTCTATTGTGGTTCCTATCGCGCATGGATGTGTGTGTTGTTGCTAGAGATTCTGGTGTGGTTTATGCAACTGCCCTTTTTTGACTAATAGTTTCATCGACCATGAGGTTGATGGCTTTCTTCACAGGCTTGCAAAAAAGATGGAGCTGAAAGACTTTGAAATTACTGTTGGGGCAGTAATTTCAAAAAAAATCCTACGCACACGCAAGATCATGGTGATGCATAGCACGAGAGTGGAGAGTGTTGTCCACGTACCCTCGTACACCGTAAGCGGAAGCGTTATGACAGCGCGGTTGATGTAGTCATACGTCTTCACGATCGATTGATCTTAGTACCGAAATACGACACCTCCGCAATCTGCACACTTTCAGCTCGGTGACGTCCCATGAACTCACGATCCAACAGAGTGTCGAGGGAGAGCTTCGTCAGCACGACGGTGTGATGACGGTGATGATGAAGCTATTGGCGCAGGGCTTCGCCTAAGCACTACAACGATATGACCGAGGTAGATTGATACGTCTCCAACATGTCTGTAATTTTTTATTGTTCCATGCTATTATATTATCTATTTTGGATGTTTATGGGCTTTATTATGCACTTTTATATTATTTTTGGGACTAACCTATTAACCCAGAGCCCAGTGTCAGTTTCTTTTTTTTCTTGTTTTACAGTATCGCAGAAAAGGAAAATCAAACGGAGTCCAATTGACCTGAAACTTCACGAAACTTATTTTTGTACCAGAAGAAGCCCACGGAGTATCATAGATGGACCAGGAGAGTCCCGAGCTGCCCACGAGGGTGGGGGCACGGCCACCCCCCTGGGCGCGCCCCCTGCCTCATGGACAGCCCGGAGATCCACCAACGTACTTCTTCCTCCTATATATATCCATATACCCTAAAAACTTCGGGGAGCACAATAGATCGGGAGTTCCGCCGCCAGAAGCCTCCATAGCCACCGAAAACCAATCTAGACCCGTTCTGGCACCCTACCAGAGGGGGAATCCCTCTCCGATGGCCATCTTCATCATCCCGGCGCTCTCCATGACGAGGAGGGAGTAGTTCTCCCTCGGGGCTGAGGGTATGTACCAGTAGCTATGTGTTTGATCTCTCTCTCTCTCTCTCTTGTGTTCTTGAGGTGATACGATCTTGATGTATCGCGAGCTATGCTATTATATTTGGATCTTATGATGTTTCTCCCACTCTACTCTCTTGTAATGAATAGAGTTTTCCTTTTGAAGTTATTTTATCGGATTGAGTCTTTAAGGATTTGAGAACACTTGATGTATGTCTTGCACGTGCTTATCTGTGGTGACAATGGGATATCATGTGACCCACTTGATGTATGTTTTGGTGATCAACTTGCGAGTTCCGTGACCACGTGAACTTATGCATAGGGGTTGGCACACGTTTTCATCTTGACTCTCCGGTAGAAACTTTGGGGCACTCTTTGAAGTTCTTTGTGTTGGTTGAATAGATGAATCTGAGATTGTGTGATGCATATCATATAATCATACCCACGGATACTTGAGGTGACATTGGAGTATCTAGGTGACATTAGGGTTTTGGTTGATTTGTGTCTTAAGGTGTTATTCTAGTACGAACTCTAGGATAGATTGAACGGAAAGAATAGCTTCATGTTATTTTACTACAGACTCTTGAATAGATCGATCAGAAAGGATAACTTTGAGGTGGTTTCGTACCCTACCATAATCTCTTCGTTTGTTCTCCGCTATTAGTGACTTTGGAGTGACTTGTTGAGGGATAGTTATATGATCAATTATGTTATTATTGTTGAGAGAACTTGTACTAGTGAAAGTATGAACCCTAGGCCTTGTTTAAACGCATTGCAATACCGTTTGTGCTCACTTTTATCATTAGTTACCTTGCTGTTTTTATATTTTCAGATTATAAAAACCTTTATCTACCATCCATATACCACTTGTATCACCATCTCTTCGCTGAACTAGTGCACCTATACAATTTACCATTGTATTGGGTGTGTTGGGGACACAAGAGACTCTTTGTTATTTGGTTGCGGGGTTGCTTGAGAGAGACCATCTTCATCCTACGCCTCCTACGGATTGATAAACCTTAGGTCATCCACTTGAGGGAAATTTGCTATTGTCCTACAAACCTCTGCACTTGGAGGCCCAACAACGTCTACAAGAAGAAGATTGTGTAGTAGACATTAAGCTCTTTTCTGGCGCCGTTGCCGGGGAGGTTAACGCTTGAAGGTATATCTTTAGATCTTGCAATCGAATCTTTTTGTTTCTTGTTTTATCACTACTTTAGTTTATAAAAGAAAACTACAAAAAAATGGAATTGAGTTTGCCTCATACGCTTCATCTTTTTAATATGTTTCATGAGTATGATGGAAAGGAAAATTGTGCCAAAGTGTTA